AAAAGTGACGATGGCAAGGCAGGCACCTGTTGCTTCCCACCCAGTGCAAGTATCCAAATTAACATTAATTCCAGAGAACCAGCAGCTGCCTTCCTCTCACTTGACGTAATATCTTTGAAGCTGAGCTGAATATTAATGAGGCACCAAGGAGCCAATTTGCTGGAAGTTCCGGACTTCCTACGCGTTACATAATAGAAGGCTGGCAGGCACTAACTTTTTAATCATGCCCGCATGGCCTTATTAGACTAGCTGAAGTTGACACTGTTGCTGAAAAGATATGAGTCAGTTACATTAAACCTATCACCTCAAACCCAGAAATAGAAGCACCCAAAGGAGCAAACCTCTGGGAATATTCCTGTTTGTTCTGTTGCCAGAGTTGGGACCATTAGGTTGAAACAGTGCACAGAATCTCCAGGGTGCAGTCTGTGAAAATTCCCTGGGAGAGATTGGTAAGAAACATAAAAATTAATTGTATCATCTACAACTGCAAAACTATACAGAAGATTAGTCTCACAATTTTGAATTTTATTCTTTTAGATACGATTGAATGAACACAATAAGTACCATTCATGTTGGCCATACATCGCCATCTTCCTTGTCTGGGTTCATCATTTCACCTGTCTCATGCTAGCCCCACAGGAAAAGGCCAGAGCTGATTTTTTTTTTTCAACTGAGAGCTGCTTAGGCATTGATATGCTGTAGGCATATCAAAGAATGATGCACACAATATGCTCCAACAGCAGGAATTTGACTAAAAGTAGATTTACCCCTCCGTGTGCTAATGCAAGGACATAAAATGTGTTGCACCCTAGATGTTGTTGAATAACAGTGCCCATCATCCCCCTCCCCTCCCCAATGGCTAGACTGGTTAGAGCAGACGGGGATTAGACTTAACAATGGCTGAAAAACTGCTGGGGATAAGCAGAAAACTGGTGGATAATTCCTCACCACTGCCACAAAAGCTAGTGAGTATTCGCTGGTTAGAGCAGACGGGCATTAGACTTAACTTAATGGCTGAAAAACTGCTGGGAATAAGCAGGAAATTGGTGGATAATTCCACACCACTGCCACAAAAGCTAGTGAGTATTCTCTCTCCACATTAAACCTGAGTCACTTGATGTCAGTCCATTTGAGTTCACACTGTATGCCAGCTAGCTCAAAGCAATGTGGCACTCTAGAACAGGGATCTAAGTCTAAGGATCCCACTTAAAATTTATGCATTTTTTGAAAGCATAAATGACTAGAGGTTCATCCCTGGCTTTCAAGAAAATGCCAGAAAAGCCCCACCCAGCAATGCACATGCACATGATAATGTAGACCTTGGACCTTACTACAGAGGAAATTGACAACTGCAAAAGATTTTCAGGAGTGGTGGTTCTCCCATTTAATTTAAATAGAACCAGACTTTTTTGTCATAGGTGTACAGGCAGAGTTGTATACACTACAGTTTATGTGCCATGTGTTGTCCATGCTCTGACCTGCACAGAGACATGGCTACTGGTAAGGCATATTCTTAGTGTGAATAAAGCATATGTGCAGCTAAAGCTGATAGTAGCTATTAGTCAGAGTGAAGTGCATTCCTCAGACAGAAGATTGGAGAGGAATGGTGGTGGCAGCCTTCCATCTGTTCCCCCTCGATCTGTTGAATATGTTCCCTATTGGAGGACAGGCCTGCCTATGCTGCAGAAGGTGCCTCTGTTTTTCCAAATGAGGCCGCTGCCAGAGATGTGGTAGAGAACAGTATCCTATTCCCAACAGTGAAGTAAAATGTAATCCGGCCAGCTTCTGTATTGAGGCCCCATGCAAGAAAGTATTAATCTGTGCTACATGTTGGAAGGCACCCTTACAGATACTATGGATCACGAGAAAGACAAATTACTAGGTTATAGAAAACATCAACCCTGATCTCTCAGTAGAAGTTAACATGACTATACTGAGGAGGTCATACTTTAGGCATATTAGGAGATGCCACTGGCACAGGCCAGGCCAATAATGCTTCTGTATGCCAACTGGCTGATTACAGGTGGGGCAAGAAGTTGGCCACAAAACACAGCAACTGCCTCTCAGAATTCTCACCACCCATTCTCTCTAAGGTCCAGTAATGCCGAATTAGTTGTTCACCAGTCAGATGTTGAGTTAGAATGCTGGATGGAATAAAATGTGCATGCCTTGCCACAGATAATTGAAGCTAAATGCCTAGGTGCACATCTCAGTTGTACAATTAGGCGCATGACCATACACATGACTAAGATGTACTCCAACACCTTGTTAATTAGTCATAATTAGCCACAGCAAGTTATGCAGACATGTGAACACCAATAGAATTCTGGCATTGCCATTATTTATTATTTGGAAAATAATAATACAGTACTATGTACATGCAGTGAAAAAAGGTACTTGTCCCTGGAATTTTAGAGTCTATATTCTGTATAAAGAAATCTAAGAGAAGGAATATTACTAATGTAATATGGATGGATCTCTGGTGACATCTAATGGCAGTTGTAAGACTCTACGTGATCTTTCCAATCAAAATAAAAGGAAAACCACTGTCTGTAGACCTATTCTGTTTTCAAAACATTTGAGTGCTGGTTGAGGACAATGTGTATCATTATAGTCATCAACACTGATCCTCTGGTAATCAAGGATTTATTGCCCCGTACTCTCTGTTACCACATTAGAAGTGCTGACAATCACCATGTAAGGCTTACTTAACTTCTGGCCACTTTGAATTGTTCCACAAGTTAGGGAAAAAAAGTGTCTCAGGCTTGCATTGCAAGATCAGCCCAAATTAAAAACAAAATATAGCTATCTTCGCAATTTGTATATCTCAGGTTACTCTGTGTCAGGGTGTGTCGGTCTCCTCTGAAGCCCCTATTCCCCCAGGCCTTCACGAGGTTCTCTCTCTTCTTCCTTCTTCCCTGCCACCAGGTATTGCTGTCTCAATACCATTCACTCAAGGAGTGCACTTTTGAAACTTAACTTATTTATTTGATCAGGGAGGGTAACATCTGATTAATATACCGTAGGTAAATCACAGGTTGCTAATCACTTGAAACTGAATCAGTACTACTTTAACTTTAAAGCTCTACCCACTCTCTGTACCATTCAGCGTTCTCACAGATCTCTCAATCACCCTTAGTTCACTCTTAAGTTTCACACAGTCTCTCACTGCCAGAATCTCTCTCACTCACAGAAATTCTCTCACTCACTGAATCTCCCTCACTCACTCCATACACCAGCCTTTATATCCAAACCCCTCCCCCCTTGGCATCGCCTTCCATCCACTCATTGGCTCCTTCTCCACTGCTCAGCTGTGACGGCCAGGTGAGGGCAGGGCTGTTCGCTACACAGGGCAGTGACTGGCATCTCATGGTACTGGTATGCTTTCCCAGGTCTCTGTGAGGCAGGACACATCTCAGAGCAAGCAGAGGTGGAGACAGAGGAAGTCTGATTTGTGTGAGGGACATGATGTACATCTCAGTTATCAACTCTTTTCCTTCCCAGCTGGTGCCCAGGCACACAACCCAGACTGAAGCTGCCTTTTTGAATACCTGAGCCTTGAATACATATTTTTATTTAAGGCAGGAGGGGTACATTTTTGGCCTCAGGGCCAACTGGCTCTGAGTAGGAATGCATACAGGTTCATGCCAGTAGAAAGTGGGGGCCAAACCTCCAAGTGAACACTGTAGTCTCCCACTTTTAATATGACTTAGGGCTTGTCCATATAGTGATGTTTTCTCTAAACATACCAGACTTGTTTTTAGGTCATATTTTGCTTGTGGGTACTCCCCCTCCCAGTTTTGAATAGACAATCCTTTTATTTGCATCCACACATAGGGAGGGTATTAGTTATTGGATGTACTGGCATGCAGTAGGTTGCCCCAGTACCACCTGTCAAAATACATCCATAATTGCACCCTGACACCTGACTCGCAACACCATTGCTCTCCCCTTTTGCCTATCATCTCTGCCTATTCCCTTTCCTCTTTGTTTTATCCATCTGCAGAGCCAATGAAAGATTCTCATGTTCTCCTTCCCTCCTCAGACACATCCCAAGCAAGGAAGATCTCCTGCTGTCCAAAAGAATAGGAAATTTCACTTCTGCGTGTGGATAATCCACCCAAGGCGTTGGCCTTTCCTATCCACACAATTAATCTAAAATGGCAACTGTCCTACACACCAGAGGTTAGTTCATGTAACCTCTATAAGCATAGACAGTGTTTTAATTCTACCTTCAAGAATTCAGCCATAACAATCAATGATCCCAAGAGCAGCTTCCAAAGATTTTAATCTGTATATGTTGGATAATCAACTATTTCCTGTGCTGCACAGTTTCTTCCCTGAGGGAAAATGTATATTTAGCACACCAAGAGTTTCACCTGTGGTTCGTGGGTGAAGAGTAGAAAGCTCAAGACCTGGATAAATACTGTGGTACCATCAAGACTTGGTACTTTGTTCACCTGAGCCTTATGAGCCATAACAGGTGGCTAGAATCATTCTGAGTAGATGAGAAGCTAAGTAACACCTCTTTGTATTTTACAATATTTCTGTAAGTTTTTCTCTTTCCTTCCAGTACTTCTCCACCAGCATCCTTCTTTCAGATTTTGAGACTGAACAACAAGGGCCTGTTCCTTTCATTTTTGCATATTGTGTAGAGAAAGTTCAGCAGTGTTACTAATATTTGCTATGGCATAGTAAATCTTGCGGATTGTGTCCAGTTCCACCAACATGAAAGCCCTGTCATGAATGAAGCCTCATTTTCATCCCTGTGTCAGTTTCAGATTCAGTACTTCTGTTCCACTCATGCAAGACTTCGCACAAGTTGTTGTGCAACTCACAATAACAATTCTTAGCCAATGGAATCGTGCTAGTTCCTGGAAAGGTAAGAAGCCCTGACCCCATCCCAGAACACCCCAAGTCTCCAAAGCCTCTTTTCTCCTTCCCAAAGAAGCTATTCAAGAACAAATATGCTCCTCTCTCAGAAAGGTTTTCATTTTTTCAGTGCATTCTTGTGAGCTGGCGTAGCATGGTGACAAAGAGACTGAACTACCAAGTAGGTAGGCCACCCAATTGTAAGACAAAATTATCCTGTTTTACTTATAGTTGTACATTGTGAGAATTGCAACTACATAATCCATGTGAGGTTTGAAAACTCAAAACAAATGGAAGTTCTATATGAATCTTTAGTATTATTATTATAATACCAAGTGTATAGCTTGTGAGTTCATGGGAAACTGGGGACATTTTCCACAATGGAATTAATAAGGATCTACATAACTCTAAAAATGAGTCGGATATGTTGCATTATTCAGCAGCTCTAATGAGAAGAAAGTTCAGTGCTTACTTCATTAGTGTAGAGACTGAGAACATAGGTCAAGTCTCATACCTTAGGTTCACAGTTGCCTTTGCTATGGCATCAGGAATGTCAGCCACCTGAAGCCCCTGATCTCATAAAAGGGCACTTCTTAATTTATTGCATGTAATATTAATAATCTGCATGTGTGCAATTTATTTTAATTTATTTTTAATGCTGGGGAGGAGAGCTGTTCATGAGCTTTTCTGCTTCAGATGCCCAAACGACTTGATTGCTCTTCAGTACTACGTATGGTTTCAGGGTTATCGTTTTCTGTTCTGCCTCAGAGAGTAAAAAATCTTGGGCAAGATCCTACATAGCCCCTTTGAATCTATGTCACCATTATCTAGATGGCTGTGGTACCCTAGCATCCAGTGTCACGACCAGGAAATTGAGTTGTGACTATTTGCAAAATCATACTTAACCTAATCACATTATTTTAGTTTCTAAATATGGCTTATGTAGAATGAGACTTGTTCTTTAGCTCTTGGTAGGATAAAACACTATATGGGAAATGGCTCTAAAATAACCTTTATTCCACAAAGGTTATAAAGGACATAAGTAGAGATACCAGTGATCAGATTAAAGGAGAACTTCATTTCAAACCATAATTCACCAGGAGAGTTCAGATTTCTGAAGAGTATTCAAGGAACGACTGACATGACTTCTTATATCATTCACCAGATCTCTGAATATGAAAACACAGCTAGAGGAAAACTGCACCATGGTGACAGAGTTTGTTCTCTTTGGTTTCTCTGTAAATCCAGAGCAGCATTTTCCTCTCTTTGGAGTGTTCCTTGTGGTCTACATCATTACCCTGATGGGGAATCTGGGCCTGATTCTGTTAATACAGCTCAGCACCCGGCTTCACACACCCATGTATTTCTTCCTCTGCAACTTGTCTGTTGTTGATATCTGTTACTCATCAGCCATCACCCCAAAGATGCTCGTGGGCCTTCTAGCAGATGACAAATCCCTCTCCTTCAATGAGTGTTTTGCTCAGCTCTACTTTTTTGTTGCTTGGGTGTGCACAGAGTGTTTCCTGCTGGCCACAATAGCATATGACCGTTACATGGCCATCTGTAACCCACTGCTGTATTCAGCTATCATGTCCCCAAAACTTTGTGTCCTCTTGATTGCTGGCTCATGTTTCATTGGTTTCACAAATGCAATGATTACAGTGTGTTTTTTAAGTAGGTTGCGTTACTGTGGTTCTAATGTCATCCAACATTTTTTTTTGTGACACGCCTCCCCTTTTAGCCTTAAGTTCTGATAGACGCGTCACAGAAACGATCATTTCCTTCCTAGCAGGAGTCACCACAGTCGGGTCCCTAAGCATCATTCTCTTCTCCTACCTATTTATTTTGTTGGCCATCCTCAAGATCCGTTATGCTCAAGGCAGGTACAAGGCCTTCTCCACATGTACTTCTCACCTTACCGCTGTTACCATCTTTTATGGGACTCTGATATTTACATATTTGCGCCCCAACACAAGCTACTCCTTGGGCCAGGATCAAGTAGCATCTCTATTCTACACAGTGGTGGTCCCAATGATGAATCCTGTGATCTATAGCCTGAGGAACAAGGAAGTGAAGGAAGCTCTCAGGCAATCCATGAAAATGAAATTATCTTTGTCATAATTTACATAAGAATACGTAGCAGACACTGAACAGGACAATTATGAAGCAAAAATGAAATGACATGAACTAGTGTGCATCATGTATGTCATTCAAAGTGCATAAAAAGATATTGCATATCTGATTCTATTCATTTTATCCTTAATTAAGACAATGGTTTCCTCCATTGTATTCGCAAAGGCTTTCACGGCCAGGTTATCCTTAATTAAGACAATGGTTTCCTCTATTACTTACAGGGTTTAACATCACAAAGCTAGGAAGTTTATGTTATCTTTCTTCACATATTACTGCTTTTTAAAATGTTTGCCTATGTTTACCTTGAACTATGCTTAAAATGCCATTGACTGTGCCTTGTGAGTTTCACAACCTTCTATGCCGGCCACAGAGACTGGCGAAACGTTAGGAAGAACCACCTTCAGAACATGGCCAAGAAGTTATCCTTAATTAAGACAATGGTTTCCTCTATTATTTACAGGGTTTAACATCACAAAGCTAGGAAGTTTATGTTATCTTTCTTCACATATTACTGCTTTTTTAAATGTTTGCCTATGTTTACCTTGTCATTTTGAACTATGCTTAAAATGCCATTGACTGTGCCTTGTGAGTTTCACAACCTTCTGTTCCTGCTGTTCACACATTCTCCTGTATACCTTTTTGTGTGCTTCTGTATCCATGCATGCACATCCCTACTTATGTATATAAACCAGATGAAGGCTCATGCAGCTCAAAAGATCCTGGTCCACAAAGTGTTCTGCCAAAATCTGTAACATCATGAAAGACTACAGGAATTCATTGGCTTGTTGTCCATTATCTGAAGAATTCTGTCATTAAGGTAATCTGGGCTATGGCGGTCTTCCAAGGATTTTCTGGAAATGGTTTACTGGTTCCTCCTTCTCTACACTTTGGGAACATGCAGCTTATGCAAGAGTCACTGGCTCATTTCCTGAGAGGCACACTGGAGAATCAAACTCCCAACCTCTAAATTACGTATGTCAATAAAAGCATTACTAAAATCATAATGTTGTTGCGGGATTCCCACTGACTCATATGGCTGTCATACTGGTAACTGCACTGTATGAGGAACCCTGAACTTTATCCAAATGAATCCAAGGTATGAGGCCCTTTAAACATTTATCCTCTCTTTGTGGGTACCATTTTCCTGTTCCACGTACCCAAAAGAAAGGTAGCAGCCCATTTCACAGAACATGACTGAGGAACCCTGAACTTTATCCAAACGAATCCAAGGTATGAGGCCCTTTAAACCATTTTCCTGTTCCACATACCCAAAAGAAGGGTAGCAGCCCATTTCACAGAACATGACTGCAGAACTGACAACTACCAGGAGTAGAGTTGGCAATTCTATGGAAAAGGCCTAACTGATGGCTCACAGTACACATTAATTGGTAGTTTATTTAAATATGGCCCCAATCATGAGAGAGCCATCTATGGAAAAGCCATTGTAAGTAGCTTGCATAATGTAAAAACAGCTTCTTATGGGCTTCCAGTTCTGCCTTAGTGAGTAATAATGTATTTCATGTGCTTTTTAATGTGCTTTATCATTTATAATTTAGCATTTCACCTTCTGTGAAGCCAACACTTTTAAGTGATGAAAATACTTAGGATTTTGTATGACTTGCTTGTGATAGATCTTGTTAACATCCAAAAGTGGCAGATTTTAGTTGTTGCACTAAGAGACATATTGGATCCCATAAATGCTTTGTTTTATTATGTGCTAAACCATTCCAAGAGCAGTACTTTGGAGTAGGGGAGTGACAGATGTTCCTAATGGCATTAAAATGAGCAGAGAAAAAGAATGGCATAAGCATAACCTGGCTAAGAGAGATTCATGGCATTTTACTCCTTTGGCTTTGACACCGCTGGCCATGCATGGCTACAGTAGCTCAGTTGGTTGGGAGAGAGCTGTAGTTTTTAAAAGAGAGGATTTTTTCCAAGATACAGTCTGAAAGCAGTTGATCTCTCTCACCATGTACCTCTCAATCCTTGATGCAATCCCAACAGTGATGTAGCCTTAGAATCACAAAGATGGAAAGTTGTTTGGGGGTCGTCTCATGCAGCCTGTTCCTCAATTCTGGCTCTACAGTGCAAGATGGAGCTGCGGGAAGCCTGGGAGATAGCTGTCCAGTAAGACTGTGCACATTTCCCTGATCCAGTTCACAGTCCAATTCTCCATTGTACAGAACCCATCTTGATCTCCATCCAAATGGACTCAGACGGATTCTCTTTAAATCCCGAAATTAGAACTGATGTGAAACTCTGGATCACCATCTTCTCATTGATTTGCATAGGTAAAATAAAGAAGCTGTAATTTATTTATCTACTGTATCTATTTGTGTTCCAAACCAGTGTACATGTAGACACTAGGGAGGGGATTCGGCCTGTTAAGCTTCAGAGAGCTGGTTTCGGGGGGGAGAGACTGCACCTGAAAAAAAAATATGATTCTGAAAAGTATCTATGATCATAGCTGCCATTTCATGCTGGGCCAGAACTGGGAGTATTTCACTTTAAAAGCATTTTAACAGCACTGGATGAGCACAGGAGAGGAAGCGGTGGTGGGCAGAGGTGGGTAGGCCAGCTAAGGTTTGCAGCAAACAGCTGAGTAAGTCTAATCAAGACATCCTTTTGGGTGGGCATAGTCCAATTCATTTTGATGACATTAAGCAAGGTCCCTTGAAAGCATCCCCAAGGTTCAGCGATGAAATATTATACCAAAAGATACGACCAAGGCTATGAAATATAATGATGAATTTTGAAGCCCTGAACTGAAACATCTGGCGAGGGTGCACTGGGCAGCAGACATTCTGGTGGGGATGAGCGGGCCCAAGGGCACAGTCGTATGAAGCTAGATCAGAATGAAGCACCTTTTCCAGAGAGAGGCATAGATCTCTGGCGTTGGAGACCCTGTGCTGCCCCAAGATGAACTCCTGCACCGAAGAGCACAGCAAGGACCACCTCATCATCCGGTACCACCATCTCAACACAGTATTGGAAGAGCTGGACTTACAACAGAAAATATCCATCTTGGGATCCCTTATGTCCCCATCCCATGTTCTTCATGGTGGTTTGCTCGCCCAAGTCTCTTGTGGGGTGCAGGGGGCAAGATAGATACCAAGCAGAGGGAATTGTTACACCCCCTGGTGGCGAAAGTACAAATGGGAGACTTAAGTCTCAAGATGTATAAAAATGCTGGCAACACAGATTTTATTCTTATCTTGAAAGAGCAGGCTTGACACGTTTCAGTGGTAGCCGCCTTCAGGTGCTAAGCATAAAATAAAACTATATATTAATTTAGAAACAGTGGGCTTGGGATAGTTACAGCTCTTTTTTCTTATCTATACAGTAAACAATATAAAATATCAATAAATATACACATAACAAGATCCATAAAATCCTAGTACAACTTAATAAAAGCATATACGACACATACCAAGCTTTTAGAACTTTTGCTTCTCATTTGGTCTCTACCAGCTCCGATGTTAATCCGAAGGGCAAATACAGAAGGGATACCTCCCCGCCTCCAGTGAGCTGGGTACTCATTTTACCAGGAAGGATGGAAAGCCTTGAGCCAGTTGCCAGAATCTATTGGTATTGAACACTGACCATGAGCAGAGTTTTGGCTGCAACACTACAATTCAACCACTGTGCCACGAGGCTAGTGGCTGTTGCTGCTGCTGCCACCTAAAGTCATTGATTAGATATATTGTGCTACAATAATGTTCAGGCAATTTACCCCTCCTCATATGCTGCCAACAGGGAAGAGATACAGCAATCCTGAGATCCTCCCCACCTCAAATTGCTTGAATGAATGAATGAATGAATGAATGAATGAATGAATGAATGAATGAATGAA